CAGACAGTTTCAGCTCATCCAGAACGCTGTGGCCAGGATTCTGACCAGAACCAGGAAATCAGAGCACATCACACCTGTCCTCTGGTCTTTACACTGGCTCCCAGTTACATTCGGAATAGATTTTAAAGTATTATAACTTGTCTTTAAATCACTGAATGGCCTAGGACCTCAATACATTACAGATATGCTGACTGCATACAAACCCAACAGATCACTCAGATCTTAAGATCATTTAAACTAGAAGTTCCAAGAGTTCTGTCAAAGCAGGGTGAATCAGTTTTCAGCAACTACACCTCTCGCTGCTGGAATCTGTTTAGCTGTGCCTTTACTGAATGATCACTGTGCTGCGTCCGACAGATCACACTATTATGTTTTTCTTTTCTTTTTCATTATCTTATAACCTATTTTAACACTTTTTTATCTGTTTTAACTATTTTTTATTCTTATTTTTATAGTTCTTAATATTTGTTTTTTATTTCTTACACGTGTCTCTTTTATTCTTGTTTATGTAAAGCACTTTGAATTGATGCTGTGGATGAAATGTGTTATATAAATAAACTTGCCTTGCCTATCACATATATATATATATATATATATATATATATATATATATATATATATATATATATATATATATATATATAAATAAATAAATAAATAATGAGGCGATTTATTAAAAAAATTCTTATTTAAAAGAAAATAAAAAAATCCTACTTTATTAATAATAATCAGGCCCGGCCCTAAGCAATTTGGCACCCTAGGCAAGATTTTAGGTGGCGCCCCCTCAAATCACAGTAAATTCCACTGTATAGACATAAGAAACTAAATAGATTTTTGATCAACTACTATAAGCTGGGAAAACGTCAGATAAATATGCCAATGCAATTAACATTAATGCTGAATAGACATCTTTATAGATTAATGCTGAGATAGATATTAATATTTACGCATTTGCATAAGGAAGGAATGATGAGGGTAGTTACATTACTATTATTATTTTCCATAACATCTATGTCTTTCCATAACATTAGCTGACGTCAAAACTATCAGATAGCACTATAGCTATTTATTGATTAGCAATCTGTCCAACGATGGATGTAAAAAAATATGGGACAACAAATAGCTTCAAATTATAGAATACATAGCAAACATTAGAAAATATTGACAAATAAAAGGTTTAGTCTATTAAAATCTATGGCCTATACAGAAATTAAATAAAGCTATAAAATCTACTTCACTTTTAATTGTATTTGCATATTGATTAAAGTTACTATAGTTATTTAGTGAAGAGCAGCAAATGAATCTCTCATCGTGTTTTGCTTGATAACAGAGGTGTTAATGTAAAAATGCACAGATCTATAATGAAGCATTCGACTATAGTAACTGTTTGTGCTCATTAAAGAGAAAATTAGTTGTGTTTAAAATAAAACACGCAGGACAGAGCCAAAAAAAAAAAAAAGTTATTGCCGTCTATCACTGAACGTGTCAGGAATACCGAAAACAAAACCAACTTAACCGCGCTCATTTCTGGCGCCCCCCCTAGATGTACAGGGCCCTTAGCATTGGCCTATACTGCCTATGCCACTGGCTGGCCCTGATAATAATGATGATTATGATAAGGATTATTATTAGGGATGTAACGGTATCAGAATTTCACGGTACGGTAATACCTCGGTATGAATGTCACGGTACGGTATTTATTGAATCATTTACAGGAAAAAAACAAAACTTATGAAAATACTCCAAAAAAGTGCCAAAAGTGTCAATGACATACAAATTAGTCATCTATCTGTAAGCTTTGAAACAGGAACTTCAATTTTAATAACCAAAAAATATTAAACCATGTAAAAAAATTAAGTTTCAACCATAGACTGTAAAATATATGGACGTAGTATCCGTGACGTCACCCATAGGTTTCTGAAGAGCGCAAAAGAAGCCACAAGTAGGCGCGGCCAACCGTCGCCATTTTGGTCACGCGTCATCACACCCACGGCGGGATACCAAATAAGGGCAAAGAGGCGGAGAGTGAGCGGAGCTACAGACACCTGCTAGCATTTAGCTTGGACCTGGTTCAGACACACTTTACTTTGGGAGAACGCTTAATACTTTATCACTTGTGACTCGTTTGTATTCTGACCACTTGTGCTTGGTTGTACACTATATCAATAAAGTGTTTAGACTTTTAAAAACACTGCTGTAATACACTGAGCCACTAAACATTGTTCTTATGACGTTTTTCAACAGGAGGAAAACGCAAATTACTTCCAAACACTTCAGATACAGTCTGTGTTAGTTACTGTAAGACTATTGATGAAATCCAGCATAACACTGCACGACAACGCTTCAGATGACTGATCTAGAGCCTACAGCTAATCAATCTGACAGATTCTGGAGTGCATTACAGCTCTAAATATAAATATAAACGATAAATGATCTTAAATAAAACAAATACATGTATAGAGATGGTATATAAGTATATAACTTTACTCACATGGGAAACAGAGGCCACGTGAATGTTTTGTGAGCACAATTAAGTGCCCTCAGCATGCCATGCCATCTAATAATTGTAGGAAACAAGTCCAAAAGGCAGTTGACTGTGTAAAGCCACATAAAACAACACAGAAATACGATAAATATGCCGAGTTCAGTCGCTAATCTGCAGAGGTGACGTGACGGCGACCAGCGAGACCTAACTGTCACTCAAGTGGCCACGCCCTTAATTATGCAAACTTAATATAACTTAATATAAAGGAAACGGAAGAGTTATAAAAAAATTCACCCGCCTCACAGTTGTCATGAAGGGTAATATTAGCTGTATTAACCAAAATCTTTTTTTGTACCAGGCTGTAAACACCTTTTTTTCTGCTGTAAAGTTGGCCATTCTAACAGTGGGCTCAATTGAAATTTGCTCTGTTTTGGAGCCAGGACTAGCGGAATTTCGGATGAATTGCAGTTTTAGTTACTTCCGTATTGGCTTCCTGAGGGAGAGCGGGAGGTTGCCGCTTGGTTTCAACTTAGTAGTGTTGAAAACTCATCACATTCAACATTTAATCACTCACTTAGATAGAGATGGGTTAAAAGGAAAATTATCATATAAATACAATCTGGTAAAAGCTGGTATCTCTGGGTATTTACAATGTCCCCTGCAACAGAAAAAAACCCTCTCATTTGGGACTGAGGTTTCTGGGACAAGAGAGATATGACTTGGCCCAGGTTGACAGCAGTGGGTAACGTTGTGCATTGTCTTTCCCCCAATTGAGAAGACAAACCATGAGTGAGATAGAGATCTCATGTCTGCATCAATCTGAACAGTGTGCTGTGTTTCTGCAGTCCCCATGACTGATTATTATCGTATTGGGGGACGTATTCCCCAACTTGCAGGCACGTGCACAAACAGGGCTCAACCTGTGCAGTGCACATGCCCTTTTTAGTCTTGGATAGAAAGTTCTCTTCCAAAATGATCAAAAGTGCCCCCGCGACGCGACATACCCTCCGTCCCCGCTTTACAGTACGCGCGCGACAACACAGCTGATAAGAACTCGCGCGACAACACCGATATTCAGTACGTGCGCAACAACACAGCTGATAAGAACTCGCGCAACAACACCGCTATTCAGTACGCGCGCGGCGACAACACCCGCTTTAGGGTTTTCCAGCTCTTTTTGATCCCCGCTTCTAGCAGTACACTCCATTTCCGCATTACTGGATCTGTAGCGACAACAGACCGCAAGGGATTATGGCCAAGCATGGGCTGATGGGAATTGTAGTTTCCGGTACCTCCCGTTCGCTTCATTCGCCTGAGCAAATTTTCTCAGAAGACCTATAGTTTTACTGAGTCATGCGACTACGGTAATATCGAAAAAATTAATATTGCGGTATGACGGTATTTACAATACCGTTACATCCCTAATTATTATTATTGTTATTTTTAATTATTAAGAAAGATATTGTTTATTTATTTCTTATTTTTTGAAAAATCTAGTGTTACATTTTGACACATGCAAACCACTGCAGAAATGTTCTATCTAACAGGCCATGTCATAAACAGTAGCCTACATTTCTTAATAAATAACCTACCTCTAAAATAAAACCATTAAAGTTTGCTATGTTTTTTTGTTTTCACAAGCTTTGAAGCAATGACTGCAAAAAATATACTAGTTTTGGAGACGTAACAAATTCCGCTGAGCTGTGTTCAAAATGACATAAATGTTTTCAAAGTGCAACTTTGTGACGGGAGCACAATTGTAAACATGAAGATTGCTAAGTAAAAATACTTTAAAAGCAAATTACACCTAAGAAAGATTACTTTAATGCTTTTTTAAAAATCATAAGTTTAAATGTTTGAATGTTCTTAACAAATAGGGCGTGGGGGATAACTGGGAATAGAACACAGCCAGGAACTATGTTTCTAACTACAGCTCCAGAGGTGTAGTTGCAAGTGAACAAGTTTACAACTTAGTTTGCGAATGTTCAGTGGAACTATGAATTTTGGAAACGTCAAAATTAATTAACTATGTTTGTAATGACGAAACTTGCGACCTTAGTTGGCTAATGATGGTTTTCGGAAACACATCCCTGTTTGTGATACCAACCATAGACATAGTCACACTCTGAACTTAATTTTATCCATGGTGCTATCTAATAGTAATGTAGTCACAGTACACAATTGCAACTCTAATAATAATTTTTTTGTTATGTTTAGAACTGATCTCCCAACTGTAAATTAGAACAAGAGTTCAGTACACCATTATTTCAATTCTATAAGTAAGACTACAGATATGCGTTTTGTTGAGGCTTATAAAACAGTCAAGGAGACTCAATATTTAAATTTTTGGGACATATTTAGAATATAAGACAAGTAGAAAAACAGTTTATGCAGGTCTATTAAAACATTTGCTTGGTTGGCGCCCCCTACGCTAACCAAGCAAGACAAAGGCGACAGTGGCAAGGAGTCAAAACTTCATCAGATGCATGATTGTGTAATTTGAATATGAACTTACGGTAAAGCCTGACATGTCAATGTCAATACGACTTTCACCATCCTTCTGACCTTTAGGTGCAATCTGGTTGAGCAAGTGAAAGTAAGCCCTGGAGTCCTGCAGATTCAAGAGTGAGAAAAGGAAAGAAAAAAAGGTTAAGTGAAAATGTAGCTTAAAGTGCCCTGCAGTCATACCAGTTGAACTATAATTGGGTAGTTGGTAAATAGGCAATTATTATTTATTTATCTTTGCAAAAAAATAAAAAATAAAAAAAATAAAAATTCCAAAGATAAAATAGTTATATTTTTGTTGTTTTTAAAAATATTTAACTTATGTATTAAAAGAAAAACACCTCTTAATAGTATAAAAATAGCATGATAGTGATTTATCTTTATTGTATCTCATGCAGTACTATTAATTTTTATATGAATTTATCAATATTATTTTCTCTTTGACTTCAATTAATAACCCCAATCATAAATTAAGTACAGTCACACTGAAGTGCAAAGGAACAGAACCTATAGACACACTGGAGACTGGCAGCTTCAAGAAAGCACATGCTGGCTGCAGTTTCTGTTTTCATCATCATAACTGAGCGAATATTCAGTGCATATCTAATCTGAACACAGTCTTGAATTCACATACCTTTGTGCCACTGCTATGCTTATGTGGACAGATTTTTATCTGTTATTCAGAAACAACTATATTATATAAGCAGTCACCAATTCTAATATACTGCCAACTCTCAAGTCACTAGTTTTTTCACACACCAAATGAACATTATTTACCATATATGAACCCAACATTTAATATTATATTCAAGAAACTACATTTCTATTGGAGTGTCATGGTGGCGCAGTGAGTAGCACAATTGCCTCACAGCAATGAGGTCACTGGTTTGAACCTCGTCTGGGTCAGTTGGCATGTCAACAAAGGGGCAAACAGATGTATAAAGGCAATCCAAATTTATAGTAAAAATAACAGGTTAGTGGTCAGAAGGCAGGCAGCAGTCAGGGATGAACAACAAAACAAAGCAAGGATCAAAACCAACAAGGCAAGAGAAAGATGTTGTAATGTTTACAAGCAGTATAACAAGACTCAGCAAACAGAGTGTCAAAATAAGCAGTATATATGTGTAGTGTAATCAGTCCATATGCAGCATCAGCTGTGGCAGTGTAATCAATAGAGACATGGAGCAGGTGTGTATGTGTGTTGTATGACAGAATTTGTAGTTCATATTGAGGCAGGCTTGCCTCAAATATATGCATGTGAAAGTTCTCCGGTGATTTATTATGGTTAGATTACTGGTGATCGTGACAGAGCCCATGCTCTAAGAGCAGATTCCAGATGCTCCAAATACAGTTTAGGAGGAGGGTGAGCAGAGGCGGAACTGGGGGAGGGATGGAGGGCCAAGACCGTGCAGCAGAGGAGTAACCTGAGCATGGAGTTGCTGAGGGGTTCAGGAGGCACTGGCAGTTCATCTAACCCCAGTGGGTCAGGAGGCTTTGGTTCAAGAGGCACTGGCAATTCATCTTACCCCTATGGGCCAGGAGACTTCGGTTCAAGAGGCACTGGCAGTTCATCAAACCCCAGTGGGTCAGGAGGCTTTGGTTCAGAAGGCACTGGTAGTTTATCTAACCCCAGTGAGTCAGGAAGCTTTGGTTCAAGAGGCACTGCCAGTTCATCTAACCCCAATGGACCAGAAGACTTTGGTTCAGGAGGCACTGACAGTTCACCAAACCCCAGTGGGTCAGGAGGCTCTGGTTCAGGAGGTACTGGCAGTTCATCTAACCCCAGTGGGTCAGGAGGCTTTGGTTCAGAAGTCACTGACAGTTCATCAAACCCAAGTGGGTCAGGAGGCTTTGGTTCAGGAGGCACTGGCAGTTCATCTAACCCCAGTGGGTCAGGAGGCTTTGGTTCAGCAGACACTGGCAGTTCATCTAACCCCAGAGGGTCAGGAGGCTTTGGTTCAGAAGGCACTGGCAGTTAATCTAATTCCAGTGGGTCATGAGGCTTTGGTTCCAAAGGCACTGGTAGTTTATCTAACCTCAGTGGGTCAGGAAGCTTTGATTCAAGAGGCACTGCCAGTTCATCTAACCCCAATGGGCCAGGAGATTTTGGTTCAGGAGGCACTGACAGTTCATCAAACCCCAGTGGGCAAGGAGGCTTTGGTTCAGGAGACACTGGCAGTTCATCTAACCCCAGTGGGTCAGGAGGCTTTGGTTCAGCAGAAACTTCCAGTTTATCTAATCCCAGTGGGTCATGAGGCTTTGGTTCTGAAGGCACTGGTAGTTTATCTAACCCCAGAGGATCAGGAGGCTTTGGTTCAGGAGGCACTGCAAGTTCATCTAACCCCAATGGGCCAGGAGACTTTGGTTCAGGAGGCACTGGCAGTTCATCTAAGCCCAGTGGGTCAGAAAACTTTGGTTCAGCAGACACTGGCAGTTCATATAACCCCATACGGTCAGGAGGCTTTGGTTCAGGAGGCACTGAAGGGTCATATTACTCTTGTGGTTCTGGGAAGTCACATGGCACTGGCAGTCTTTCGTGAAACTCAGACGGCGGCTCTGGCCAATCGTGGGACTCAATTGTGGGACTTATTATGTGGAGACTGTAGAATTTCAGGCACCCCTGGCCATTCAGGGAATTTGGGAGGGTCTGGCGCCGCTGGCTATTTAAGAAATTCTGGTGGGTCTGGTGCCCACCATTCGGAGAGTTCAGGAGTACCTGGTGCTCTAGGTCATTCGAATGATTCAAAGGTGTCTGGCGCCTAGCATTCAATGGATTCAGGGTGTCTGGCACCCGCCATTCGAGGGATTCAGTGGTGTCTGACGCCCACCATTCGAGGGATTCAGAGGTGTCTGGCACTGCCATTAGACGAATTAAGAGAGTTCTGGCAATGTCAGTGGCTCTGGTTGTGGTAGCGTTGACTCTGGTAGCTCTGGCGGTTTTGGCAGCTCTGGCAGTGGTGGAGGATCTGGCAGCTCTGGAGGTGGTTGTGGCAGAAACCAGAAACAGTGTATGAAACCAGGGTATATGTAATCTATGTGATCATTGAGAATGACCATCACTTGTGTGTGTGTGTGTGTGTGTGTGTGTGTGTGTGTGTGTGTGTGTGTGTGTGTGTGTGATGAGAGGGAATAAGGAACTGGTGTGCAAGAGGTGCATGATGTTATATGAAGTCCAGTTGAGTGACAGATCTGTAGTTCTCCAGTGATCTTCAAATGTTAGATTGCTGGTGATCATGACAGAGGACCCACTCTAAAAGCGGATTCCAGATGCTCCAAACAGATGCTACAGGCCAAGTGAGAGGTGAAGTGGAGGCAGAATAGGGGAAGGGACAGAGGGTCAGGTCTGTGCAGCGGAGCTGAGCCTGGAATAGCAGAGGACCTGGGTCGTGGAGCTGTGGAAGGCCTGGAGCACAGTGCTGCAGTGGGCCTGGAGCATGGAGTTGCAGAGGGCCTGGTGCGGGGAGCAGTAGAGAACCTGGAGCAGGAAGTTGCAGAGGACCTGGAGCATAGAGCTGCTGAGGGCCACGAGCTTGGAGCTGCTGAGAACACAGGTGGGTCATACACCTACAGTGGATCAGGAGATTCTGGTTCAGGAAGCACTAGCAGTTCAACTAACCCCAGTGGGTCAGGAGGTTTTGGTTCATGGAGCACTGGCAGTTCAGCTAACCCCAGTGTGTCAGGAGGCTTAGGGTCAGGAGAGACTAGCTGCTTATTTATTCCCAATGGGTCAGGAGGCTTTGGTTCAGGAGACATTGGTGGTTCAGACAGCTCTGGTGGCACTGGAGGATCACACGGCTCAGGCGTCACTGAATAGTCGCACAGCTCTGGTCTGACTGGGAAGTCACACGGCACTAGGGGCACTGGGAAGTCATGTGCCACTGGTGGAAATGGAAAGTCACATGGCTCTGGCGGCCATTTGTGGAACTTAGGTGGTGGCTCTGGTCATTCTAGTCATTTAACCATAAAAGTTGAGCTGTTAAATATTCTAATCTCTAAGACTGGTTACTCAAAAGTCTAGTTCAGGCTCCAGACTCATTCGGTGTGATTTCAGGCTCATTCTGGCTATTTTTTTTTCAGTTTTTTTTAAATCCAAGATTTACAAACCACTCAACCTCTCAAGTATTTGTTGGCAAAATGCCAATCCTTGGCCCATTTTTGCTCCTAAAGGACTAGACCTTTATTGAATGCTGGTTTTGTACCAAATCATAATTACATTTTACCTGTTGACATCACCTGTTTAAAATCAAATAATTATTCTACCAATTTATCTGATTACTAATTCTGAATTGCATCTGTCTCAACTTTTTTTGTTATGCGTTGCAGGTCTGAATGTTATGAAAGGATGAATATTTACAAATAAAATTAAGTTGACCAGACAAAACCAGAAATATTTTGTGTTGTCATATTGTCTGCAATGAAATACAAGTCAAAGTGAATTTGGAAATATTTATTTTCTTTTTATTTATGTTTTCCATACTCTCAAAACTTTTTTCTGATTTAGGTTTGTACATGAAAAACATTTACTTTAAATTAAAGTAATATTTCATGGCATATTTATATTATGCCAAAATAATTGTAATAATAATTTGCATGTCCACATGGGTGTTGTAACATAATATGTGTTTGAATGTGGAAGGTTGGAACTAATCAGCAGATGAGCTTCTGCATTGTGCTTGTTCAATACACATTTTTAAACCAGATAATCTTTTTTTTTTTTCCTAAAAAAATGGCAACATATAAAAGTGTACTTTTAGGATTTATGCAGACATGTTTCATGTCTGTAAGGCAAATATTCGATAATCAATATCAAATATATTTGATTTGGCTCACAGTCATGTTGACAAATGGCCCAGAAATAGAAAACACTCCCTTTTTACAAACTTTACAAAAACATATTGTTTTGTTGAAATTTTGAATGTATACAAATAAAAATAAACCATTTGCAGTTTATAAATACTTTTATGGTCAGTACATGTTCTCAAAGTGTGTGTTTCAGGAACAAAATAAATTTAGAGACAAGGATATTTTTATTATTAAGATTCAACCAATTGCACTGACCAACTGCTATGGGAAATAGTACAAACTTATAGTACAAAATAGTACAAAAAATAGTACAAACAGACCAGAGAGTTGATAACTCTTCAGAACAGTGACACAACAGCAGAGCACAGTGAATAGGCAAATTAGGACTGACCTTAATATCATGGCTAAAGTTGTTGATCTTACTCCATCCAGCATTCTCTAGATGAAAGTTGGCCCAGCGGAGCAACAATTCCTCTGGAGACAGTTTCATCAGATCCTCAAGTGTCTCTCCATCTCTCAACAATGCTGCGAGGGCTAAAACAAGACACAGTGACATTAAAACACTTTAAATTGAGATCTTTTGTCCCTCCATTGAAAGCCAATGTCAAAAATTTGAGGCCCAAAAAGGTAATGATAACATTGTGAAAATAGTCCATGTAACTACAGTGTTTCAACTTAAACCTTAAGCACATTACATTTTATAGCCCTGAATTCTAGCTAGACCTCAAGATTGTACACAGATGTTTCAGGTGTGATCACAGCTATTTATTATATTAAACAAATGTTTTATCACTGACATATTTATACAAAAAAAAATTTCACAGCAAATCTAATAATATCACATTTTTTCTTCTGAAGAAAGTCTTAGATTAAAGATTAGACTAGATTAAAAGCAGTTATTAATTTCTTAAAAACCAATGAAAAAAATTATTAGCTTTTTTTTTTTGACTGTCTACAGAACAAACTTGCCTAATTTCCCTAACCTGCCTAGTTAACCTAATTAAGCCTTTAAATGTCACTTTAAGCTATATATAAGTGTCTTGAAAAATATCTAGTCAAATAATATTTACTGTCATCATGGCAAAGATCAAAGAAATCAGTTATTAGAAATGGGTTATTAAAACTCTTATGTTTAAAAATGTGTCAAAAAAATCTTACTGTTAAACAGACATTGGGGAAAAATAAGGGGGTCTAATAATTCAGGGGGGCTAATAATTATGTAAAAATCAAAAAATATAAACACAACAAAAAATAACAAAAAAAAAATCTGTAACTGGACCTCTTTCAATGTTAATTGAATACCCCTGGTCTAGCTTATTGATCTTCTTGGCTCAAGGTTCATCTGAGGATAGACCCTGTGAGACAGGCATAAACTCTCTCAAGTTCAATTTGAGAGAAAAACTGTTTAGTCTAGCAATGAGGTCAAGTTAAGTTTAACAGCTAATAGCTACACTGGGGTGCGTTTCGGAAAACCATCATTTGCCAACTAGCGTTGCAAGTTCCGTCATTACATAGTTCTTTATCCTCCTATGCCCTATGGATTCAGAAAGTTCTGAAAAAAATATCAAGGTCATCTCTCTTACACTTAATTTGCTTTCAAAGTAGCCTATTTTTACAGTTTAGTTTTTGCAATCTTTATATTGACAATTGCGCTCCCTTCATAGTGCACTTTGAAAACATTTAGGACATTTTGAATGCAGAAAACTATAGGTGACTATTATTTAAAAGTGAAATTTACGTTACTTCTCCAAAGATTGTGAAAACAAAAATATATAGCATAGGTTAATGGTTTTACTTTATAGTAGGTTATTTATTAAGAAATGTGCCTGTAGCCTACTGTATATGATATGGGCCTGGTGTTTAGTAATAATAAAAAATTTATTTTAATTGTAAATGGCGCCTTTCTAGACATCCAAGGTCGCCTTACAATAAGCATCAACAACCATGCTAAAACAAGATAAAACAAATATACACTGAAGAAATTTGGGTGTCCTGATCAAATTATAGCTTGGATTAGACTTTTATACACATCTCCAATGGCCTGTGTACGAACAAATAACAATTATTCTAAATATATCTCACTTGGTCGCGGTACTAGACAAGGCTGCCCACTCTCCCCTCTACTATTTGCAATAGCCATTGAGCCATTGGCAATTGCTGTAAGAGCCAGTGCAATGGCTGGCATAAAAAGGGGGGAGTTGGAGCACAAACTGTCTTTAAACGCCGATGATCTCTTGTTATACGTGTCTGATCCTTGTACCTCTATTCCTTTGGTGTTGAAATTGCTAGCAGACTTTGGCCTGATTTCAGGATATAAGTTTTGAGTAAAAGTGAATTGATGCCTATTAATACAGCAGCGTTGGATTACCCATTAAGTTCTTTACCTTTCAAATTCTACTTATAAAGTTTCAAATATTTGGGCATAAATGTCACAAAAAAGCTTTTCAGACTTATTTGACCACAACTTTGTCCCATTAGTGAAAAAAACTTACACAGGATTTTAATCGATGGTCTCTCCTCCCTTTATCTTTGATCGGTAGGGTTAACTGTATTAAGATGATTGTACTTCCAAGATTTCTTTACTTATTTCAATTATTACTATTTTTATTCCAAATTCTTTTTTAGTTACACTTGATTGCTCTATTCTAGTTTTCTCTGGAACAGAAAACCCCCAAAGATCCATAAAAGTATTTTTCAAATAACAAAACAATTGGGTGGTCTAGCTCTTCCAAATTTCCAAATATATTACTGGGCAGCAAATATACGCTCTACTCTATATTGGCTACATTCATGCAACTTAGCGAATCCCCCCTCTTGGGCTGCACATTGAGTCTGTCTCGTGTAATAAGTCATCCTCTTTGGCTGCTCTTTTATGCCTCCCATATACAATGACCCCAATTAAATATTCAAATAATATAATTGTAAAAAACAGTCTCAAAATTTGGACCCAATTTTTGCGCCATTTTGGTTTTTTATAATATCTCTTTATTATCCCCAATACACTCCAATCCTCGGTTTTATCCTTCTATCTTGGACAGTGCTTATGCCTCATGGAGAGATCTTGGATTGGCTTCTTTTGGTGATCTTTACATTGACTGTGTTTTTGCCTCTTTTGGTCAGTTGGCCTCCCAATTTAATGTCCCTAAAGCCAATTTTTTCAGATACTTACAAATTCGAGATTTTGTGCACAAAAAATTTGTTAACTTTCCAAATGCACCGCCTACTTCAGATCTAGACACAATTCTGGGCATAGATCCCTGTACTAAAGGTTCAAATTCTAAATTATGTAATATAATTGTTAATCTTCAATTTTCTTCTGATAATTTACGGAAAACCTGGTCTCAAGACATTGGAATTGACATTACAGAGGAGACATGGAAAGCGGTCTTGAACAGGGTTAACTGCTCCTCAATCTGTGCATGTCACAGGCTAATACAATTCAAGGTAGTGCATAGAGCTCCAAGAGCAGGTTAGCTCGCATCAATCCGTCTATAGACCCTGAGTGCAAAAGGGGTCATTCTGGTACAGCTACTTTATTCCATATGTTTTGGTCCTGTCCTTTCCTGCTTTCTTTTTGGAGACAAATATTTCTCTCGCTATCAGCTATTACCACTGTCGATATCCCACCATGTCCAATTATTGGTTTATTTGGGGTTCTTCCGCCCGACCACACTTTACCCTCTCATTTTGTAGACTTTGTAGCCTTTATAACCCTTCTGTCTAGGCGATTAATTCTTCTGAACTGGAAGAGCCCTCACCCTCCTTCTCACTCTTGTTGGATAAGAAATGTTCTTTATTTTATGAAATTAGAACATTGTAGACTTGTTTTTATGTATATAAGATTGCACTAGTGTTGTTGGTTTTTATTAATTTATCTATTTATTTTATTATTTTATTTTTATTTATTTATTTCTATTATTATTATTTGCTCAAAATACTCTTCAGTGTATTTGCTTATTGTTACGTTTATGTCTTTGTAAATTTTTGTAATGTTTCTCAATGTATAAATAAAACATAAAAAAAAGTTAAACAAATATTAAAACAATACCAAACAAGCACTGACCAAACAAGTATAAACACATATCGCGGATATAAAATAACATGATAAAATTTTTAAAGGAAAGCCTGCTTAAAAATATAAAAGAAGGGTCTTTAGACTCTAGATTTATACAGTATATGTCTTTTAAAATATTCAACGTGGGTAGCGGCAGCCTACAGTGCCAGCTTGCACCCGAACCAGAAATTATACTAAAATGGACCATCCATTTAGAACATCCATTTAGAACATTGGTTTAGAAATTTCTGCAGTGGTTTGAATGTGCCACAGTTGTAAAAGTAGACTTCAAAAATGTAAATAAATTAATAAACAATATCCTACTAAATAATAAAAGTAGGGGGAGGCAGTGGTGCAGTAGGTAGTGCTGTCGCCTCACAGCAAGAAGGTCGCTGGGTCGTTGGTTCGAACCTCGGCTCAGTTGGCGTTTCTGTTTGGAGTTTGCATGTTCTCCCTGCCTTCGCGTGGGTTTCCTCCGGGTGCTCCGGTTTCCACCCACAGTCCAAAGACATGTGGTAGAGGTGAATTGGGTAGGCTAAATTGTCCGTATGAGTTTGTGTGTGAATGTGTGCGGATGTTTCCCAGAGATGGGTTTCTGCTGGAAGGGCATCCGCTGTGTAAAAAACTTGCTGGATTAGTTTGCGGTTCATTCCGCTGTGGCGACCCTGCATTAATAAAGGGACTAAGCCGACAAGAAAATGAATGAATGATAATAAAAATAATGGTAATAATAATAATTCTTATTATTAATAAATAGTCTACTGTAAATTACAACCATAAACATTTTATATGAGTTATTTGTGAGATATATAAGAATATTCTCACAAATACTTGTGAAGGGAACATTGGCCTATATGTGCCATTTACATATATTTCAGATAATATAAAAAACGAGTTTTTACTAAAACTAATATTGAATTTTTTTTTAAAGTGCGTGTCATTTTTTTGGGTAATTTTTTTAAAGAAGTTGTTACTCCGCCCCGTTTAGAGCGTCATTATGGAGGTTTTACCACTAACGTGGTTCAAACGATGGATCTGCAACAGAGAAACTACGGTTTTGCGGAAACACTGGTCACTACATTGTTAATTTTTCAATTGTTGCATCATACTATTATAATTCAGCCACTAGATATGTCGTTGTTTGAGAAACCCCCCACCCCCAGGTCAATTCAGTCAGTCAGGTTAACACTAACTATAAAAGATTTTTCTGGCTATTTTCAGACTACCTGGATGTTGTCATTACCATGCCCAAGGCAGCACTGTTTGGACCAAAAGCAAAACTGTATTTGCACAAAGACATGTACCCTCATTTCTGCTCAGCTCAATGTCAGCAAACAGACCAATCTTGATGATCTGCCACAGAAGCCCTAAAACCAGATGAGGTTTCCCTTCTCGAAGGTCTAAAGCTCCAATGTTGACCACGTGACAGCCAATGGCAGAGGCTGAATTGAGAGCCAAGTTAAGATTCTCCTGCAGGATGGAAAGAATGTTTTTCAATATAGCACAAAATTATATTAATTTAACCAGGTAAAAAAAAATTATCTAATTGAGATTAAAATCACTCTTAACACAAATGTGTTTGCTTTAATACGGGAAAACAAACAGGGTTAATAACCCAAAGTCAATAAAGATAATTTTTAAAGGAATACACAAAAAAAGTAAAATCAAACCTGTATTGTGAATGGTGTTAGCTTTTTTTTGTTGATTGTCCTCTCATCAATAGTATCAGGTACTGAAAGATTGATCATTTTACTAAAAGACACAAGGACACACAGACACACATATGGATATCTTAAAAGTTAAAATAATGAAACCATGGACAATATGTTAAAGAATGTATCAGGCTTACCACAAGACTATACCATCACCTACGGCCTTGAAGAGAGCATCCGTATTAGGGTTCATGGGCAGTTTGTGTTTACAGTCAGGGTCATGTTCCAAAGCTGTGTTGATCCAATTCACAAATGCAAATCTCTCCTCCTCTTTTCACAGATGCAATAAATAAAAGTATATACAGTGCCATTAATGCCAAACAAAAGCCAACACGATACCATAGGCTAATACTTTCATAAGATATTTACATGTGCCTAAAGTACCTTTAATTACCATGGTATTTCAAGGCATTTATATGATAGTTCATGCAAAGACTGTAATATCACCATTATCTTGGTAGCCTATCATCTCAATACCACAAGCCACAGGGAAGTATAGTGCAAACAAAACTTGATGCTAAAGTTTAAAAAAGTTGGAGATTTGATGATTTTTAATGTTAAACATATGGCATGTTGTTAGCATGATTAGTATGTTAGTAGCATGTCATTACAGATTCTAGCATAACTAAGAAGTTATTAACATGTTGTTAGCATGATTAGCATGTCACTCCCATAGTGTTAACATAAATAGCATGTGCTAGCATGTTATTAGCATCTTGTAAATGGCTGCTATGGTGTGGCTGATATTTAAGGAGTTAAAGAAAGAAAAAATAGGTAGAAATAAGATTGAAGAAGAAATTTTAAGCACCTCCATTTAACACAAACTTTTAAAAAACATGTTACATTGAAAAACGCACTCTCAAATCATTCAATGAAGAAATAAAATAAATAAATAACTTGTAAAGTTAAGAACATTTATTTATTACAAACATTTTAAAAACAACATATCATAAAGTTAAAACAATATACATACATACACACACACACATATATATATATATATATATATATATATATATATATAATAAAAATGCAATATGGTTGGTATAATTGCGTTATACTAAAACTAAAACTAAAATTATAGTGTGTTCAGCCAACATAATTAATGCAAAAGGAAGAACTGATTTGTTTCATCTGGTAAAATAAGTATTTTTACCTGAGAAGGAATGCTGTGTGCCTGCACTGGAGAGCTCAGAGGTGCCTCCAATGGCCAAGATACCCTCTTTCCTGTTAATGGCCTTCCGAAAGCTCTTTGCAATGTCACCACTCTTTAACTCCTGAAAGATCTGGATAGACACAAAATAGGATATTAATAGTATAATACAGGGTACCTGTATGCATATTGGCCAACACAGTGCTTTAGTCATGTTAACCTATGTAATGTGGCGTTGACACAGTCTGCATTTTGCTGTATAAAGCGCAATAGAAATAGAAGTTTCATAACTTTATATACATAACACACATAAAATGCTACAATAGCCATTCACCAAATCAATGCACAGAACCATGTCAGAACCTATCATAAAGACCCGACATAATAATAAAATAAATGTAAAAAAAGATATTTTAGAGAAATATTATTTAAAAACTGCCCTTTTATGTGCCAGGACTTTTTAGTTACCTAAAAAGTGTGTGTGTGTGTGTGTGTGTGTGTGTGTGTGTGTGTGTGTGTGCTAACGCACACCTCCCACCAGTGCTGATATACAGCCATAGCACACTGCTACTCGTGTGATATATAAATATATACATATACAGTACATACATACAGTTGAAGTCAGAATTATTAGCCCCCCTGGATTATTAGACCGCTTGTTTATTTTTTCCCCAATTTCTATTTAATGAAGAGCAGATTTCTTCAACACATTTCTAAACATAATAGTTTTAATAACTCATTTCTAATAATATATTTATTTTATCTTTGCCATGATGACAGTAAATAATATTTTAATAGATATTTTTCAAGACACTTCTATACAACTTAAAGTGACATTTAAAGGCTTAATTAGGTTAATAAGGGGAAACTAGGCAAGTTAGCGTAATTAGGCAAGTTATTGTATAACGATGGTTTATTCTGTAGACTATCGAGAGAAAAAATAGCTTAAAAGGGCTAATAATTTTGTCCCTAAAAATGGTGTTTAAAAAAATTTTTAACTGCTTTTAAAACAGTTTTAATAAAACAATAAGACTTTCTCCAGAAGAAAAAAATATTATCAGACATACTGTGAAAATTCCCTTGCTCTGTTAAACATTATTTGGAAAATATTTAAAAAAGAAGAAAAATATTCGAAGGGGGCCAATAATTTTGACGTCTTTCTAAGGGGGCTAATAAATCTGACGTCAACTGTATGTATATATATATATATATATATATATATATATATATATAAATTAATTAATCTGGGGTCAACACAGCAGAATGAACCGCCAATCCATCCAGCACTAGTTTTATGCAGTGGATGCCCTTCCAGCAGAAACCTATCTCTGGGAAACATCTATACACACTCATACACTATGGACAATTTAGCCTACCCAATTTACCTGTACCACGTGTTTGGACTGTGGGAGAAACTGGAGCACTCGGAGGAAACTCCACACAGAAACGCCAACTGACCCAGCTGAGACTCAAACCAGTGACCTACTTGCCGTGAAGCGACAGCACTATCTATTGCGCTACCGCATCGCCTTAATAAATTAATTACAACCCAAAATCAGAAAAAAAGTTATGTACAGTATGAAAAACCCAAATACAAAGAAACTAGTGATTTCTATTTGTACTCTAACTTGTATTCCACTGCATATAATACATTAAACAATATTTAATGTGTTCCTCATGATTTTTATTGTTTTGTTTTTTCAAAATAAACATATTACAATTTTGGTTCTTGAAAGACATTTCAAATAAGGTTTTAAGTGAATTTCTCCATTTCTTTTTGCACTTAAAGGACATTTAGGAACTAAAGACAATAAAGTATAATATAGTGTTTCATTCTTTCTGGGTCTGGACTACAGACAGGCCAGTCAAGCACCTGTGTTCTCTTCCTCACAAAATTGCAAGTTAACTTTGTCAAGGGCACTGACACAACCATGACAAACTCAGAATTTTGGACTTGTTGCTGGGAACAGTCTGGATGATTCTCTTCTTTGTTCCGGATCAATTTCTCCCAAAAAGTACCTGAAATACAGGTTCATCTGACCACAGAACATGTTTCTGCCAAGAGAAGCCGATGGCACTTCTAGACACTGTTAACCAGGCCCGGATTAAGAACTATAAAATATATATATATATATATATTTTTTTTTATAAGGGTATTTTAATGTATTGCTTTTACAAACTTATAAAGCATATTATTGCCATGGCATATAACGCACAATGCTTCTCTAATACAGTTCTATGTGAATCTGAGTTCTATGAATCTGAGTCTTTCATAATACAAACACTGTTTTACTGTCTCTCTCCTCCTCTCCCTGTATTTTCTCTACTCTTCTCGTGATGAAGACTTGATTATAAACCTGAAAGTATCCGAAATCACACACACTATACCTCTTCTCTCCCGTCTCTCTCCTCTTCTGGGCCTTTCTCTCTCTATCTCCCTTTCTCTCTCCTTTTCTGTCTGTCTCTCACACGATGAATCCAGTCCGCGCTGCGCTGCCGTTAGCCTCCTCCGCCTGGTTAATGCTAGCTTCTCATCATTTAAAGTTACCATAACGTCTTCTTTACTGTACCCTCTTTCTCCTGATCATGGGTCTGTTTAAATATGGTGTGTATGGAAAATGCCTCAAAAAAGATGCCTCCTCTCCTCTTTCTCTCGCGTTTGCTAAATCCACTTGTCCACTCATTTTTGATCTATGACAGATATAACGTAACACTACAGTCCGCTCAGTTTAGTGCGGGTTATTTCAAATAACCGAGGAAACTGACGTTTCCTCGCTTGACCAATTACAGCATTCTGTTTAGTTAACGAAAAAAAGGCAGTTAAAATATAATAATAATATTAATATGTGATCGCAATTTTTTTTGCTCAGAGGAAATACAGTTGTCTGAGCAATATAGTGTTCCCAGAGAGGGAGGCACGGCAGGCGCCTATAATAAGGCTAAACATTATTAAATACCCACGAGACACTTGTGACTTTATATCACATTTGCATTATTTTTAAAAAATGTTTCCTTCCTGTTAAAAATAAATATATTTCCAATCTGATATGTAATGGGGAGAAAAAAAAGTAGTACGAGTTCAGCTGATGGTGGATTCGAACCGAGTTTATGATTAATCGCGTCAAAAGATGATGCTGTGCGCCCTACAAGGTGCGCCACTACAGTTGTAAAGATCAGCAGCTCTTTACTAATCTTGTCTCTATCAATCAAGCATCGATGGGCGTAAACCCTGAATAGCTTATTCCTACTAGATGCGCTATTTGCAATTAGCCAAAAAAGACACTGCGAAATTGTCTTTTTTTCTCCCCCCTCGCAGGGGCCCCTAGTGCGCACGGGCCCCTGGGCCTGTGCCCATAAGGCCCATTGGTTAATCTAGCCCTGCTGTTAACATAGTGATTCCTTTTCGCAAAGTGCAGTTTTCACTGGCATTTGTGGATGCAACAACTTATTGTTGTACTTGACAAACATGTGCCAAAGCAGTCCTGAGCCCATGTAGTGATATCACTTATAGAAGATTGATGATTCTTGATGCAGTTCTGCCTGAGGGGTCTGAGATCGAAGTTGTTTAGCTTAGGCTTGTGCCCTTGTCCTTTACGCAATGAAATTCCTCCAGATTCTTTGAATTCTTTAACTATGTTATGCACTGTTGAAGGTAAAATATCCACGCCTTTTCAATATTTTTTTTAAACTGGTGCTCCTCAGTGACTTCTTTGCTCCTAAAGGACTAGACCTTTCTTGGATGCTGCGTATGTACCAAATCATAATTATAATTACCTGCTGTGATCAAATTACATCTTTATTTCACAAATTTACCTGATTACTAGCCCTAAATTACTCCTGTCCCAATAATATTGTTATTTGCGTTTCCCATACTGTCCCAACTTTTTCCGATTTGGGGTTGTACACTGAAAAATGTAAAAAATAATAAAAATAAAAAGTTTCATGATTTTATATCTCATTGTCAACCTCTATTATAAACAATATATAATCTTTTTAAACATATATTTTTTATTTTTCATTATTTGTAATGTTTTGTAAATAAAATGTTTGATGTTTTCAAGACTGGAAATTAATTTATTAAAAACTATGGTAAGTAATGTAAATAAACAACATTGATTCAATGTTATTATCCAAACTATTAAAATGGAAATAAAACACAAGAAAAATGCACTTAGTATAATCTTGAGCATAGTAGAATGTATTGACTATATATATATATATATATATATATATATATATATATATATATATATATATATATATATATATATATATATACTCTGTGGACCTACAGAGACAAACTCATCAAAGCTGATCATGTTGTCCTTGTTTTTGTCACCCTCTTCCATCAGTTTCTGTATGATCTCTCGGACTTTGTACCCTGGCAGTGGCAGATTGGCTTCTTTGAAAAGGTCATGCAGCTCATGGTCACAGATGAAGCCATTGCCGTTCAAATCTATGAAAAGAAATGATAAGGAAAGGTTTGTTTGACTTTTCCAACAGGCAACAGCCAAGCAACAGTAATGTTGGTTACAACGTTGGTTTTGTGTGTGTGTGTATGTGTGTGTGTGTGTGTGTGTGTACACTACAGTTCTGTCTGGTTCTTGAATCTAATTTACTAATAGCCATGCGATTTTGCCAGTAACAGCACTTGTCCAATGCACGAATACATCAACAATTAGAGGACACTCTACAGTTTGACAATTATTGCTGCAGTTGGGCAACAGAATGTACTTTCGGAGCTGTTTTAGTCGAGAATGTAGTTGTTTAGATTGCAACTTTGCAGATTATTTTTAAGGATAGTGCATATTTTAAAATGTTTATTATTTCTGAGACATCGCGTCGGTAGCCGTTAGCCTGTCTTTGAGCAAAGACAGTTGATGATGTTCATCCACAAAATGGCGACAGAGACTGCATACTAAGCCCTAAGTGAAAAATGTGTAATTTCAAAGTACAGCTGATTAAATCAAATGACATTCTAAATCGATCTTTCTCTTTTGCATGTTGTAATGCTTTCATATTTATATCATCGTAATATTGTGATCTCCCAACAGAGCAACAGAGAAATACTGGAAAATCTCTGTACAATGAGATGGCATTTCATGCTGTTCAGCCTTATAATCTTAAAATGTGAGCAAAATCATCTGTTTTGTCAACGCCAGCCTCCCACCAATGCCGATATACAGCCACATCGCACTGCTACTCGTGTGATTTACATTATATGAGCAATATCACACGAGTAGCAGTGTGTTATGGCTGTATATCAGCATGGATGGGAGGTCCCGCCAGTGCTGATATACAGTCATATCGCACTGCTATGAGTGTGATATTGCGTTTATACAACAGTTCAACAGCACAATCGTGTATATAAATAAGAAAATCAAACACGGAGAGTCTAAAGACCCCTTTTTATTAGGAACTACTTTCTTCCGCCATTTATTTACATCTGCAGCTGATGTCAAAACAGCAGAAGTTGGCAAACCAGGGGGGTTTAGTTTACAGACTGTACCAAAGAGAGAGGTGGGTAAAATTACGGGAGTTTTTTTTTTTTTTTTTTTTTAGAAAGAAATAAAAACAGGATGTTTGCAGGAGACTGGTCTGAACAGTTTAATATTGATTTGATCTGCTTTAGTTAGAAATCAGACTTTTATATCTTCTAAGCGTAAGGCCTTATTATGCTGTTCTGTCGCCATCTTGTGGATAGAAAACGTCAACTGTCGCCGACGAGCTGTCTCTCAGAAATTGTAAATATTTTAAAATAGGCACTATTCTTGCAAATAAGCCTCAAAAGCATATTTTGTTGTCTAACTGCAGTAACATTTGTCAAACTGTAGTGTCTGCTTGTAGCTGGCTGTATGTGGGCGGAGTAATACACAAAGAGTAAAGAGGCTGTATGGATGCTGATATTACTTAAATATATGAAGACTATCAGCCAATCAGATTCTAGATCCAGACAGAACTGTTGTATATATATATATATATATATACAAGAGTTCTGTCTGGATCTCGAATCTGATATATATATATTTACATACATACATCGCACTGCTACTCGTGTGATATAGACATACAGACACACACACTCACACACATATACATATATATGTATATATATATATATATATATATATATATATATATATATATATATATATATATATATATATATATACACACACACACACACACACACACACAGACACACACACACACACACACACACATAAATACAATGCATCCTGAAAAGGTTCAAACCGCTTCACCTTTTCCACATTTTTTTGTTACAGCCTTAAGGCCCGTGCACACCGAGACGTTTTTTGAATAAAGGGCGTCAAAGTGATCGTGCATACCAAAGCACAAATCAGCAGGCGCAAAAGCGTTATTTAAAAAAAAAAAACACCTCGTGCTTGTATTTTTTTTTTTTGACACGCCGCATCAAAGCCTTCTCCACCAATTAGATTGGCACTTTTGTTCACGTGCACGGAGCTTCTGAAGTTAAAGTAAACAGCACTTGGAGACACTCAAGTGCAAAACTGTCAATGTGAGCGCACATTAAAGAAGAGGCAAAGGCAATATGAACGTGGAGCTGCTTATTGCTCTGGTGAAAAATAATAATTTCTGTCAACTTTGTCCTCTGTGTTACAAGTGTGTGTCAAAAGCTTAAAGTTGTGTAATGCCAAATAACGTCAAGGAGGGATTTTGCATACTCTTCTGCTCGACGCCAGTGAAAAGCTCTTGGGTTTGAATCCAGAAAAAAACTTGAAAAGTGATGACAATAAGCATCCCGTGTGTACAAGCCTTTATTCCAAAACTGTTTAAATTCATTTATTTTCTCAAAATTGCATTCTACATACAATACTCCATAATGACAATATGACAATTTTTTTTTTATGAAATTCGTGCAAATTTATAAAAAAAAAAAAAAAACTGAAAAATCACATGTACGTAAGTATTCACAGCCTTTGCTGTGAAGCTGTCAATTGAGCTCAGGTACAGATCTGTTTCAACTGATCATTCCTGAGTTGTTTTAGCAGCTTAATTCACCTGTGGTAAATTCCATTGATTGGACATGCTTTGAAAAGTCATACACCTGTCTATATCCCAGGGTTGACAGTGCATGTCAAAGCACAAACCAAGCAGGAAGACAAAGGAATTGTCTGTAGACCTCCTTCCTTGAGCTGGCTGGCCATCTAAAATGAGCAATTGGGAGAGAAGGGCCTTAGTCAGTGAGGTGTTCAATAACCCAATAGTCACTCTGTGTGAGCTCCAGCATTCTTCTGTGGAGAAAAAGAACCTCTTGATCTCAGACTGGGGTGTCGGTCCACCTTCCAGCAGGACAATAACCCAAAGCAAACCGCCAAAATATTAATGGAGTGGTTTCACAACAACTCTGTGAATGTCCTTGAGTGGCCCAGTCAGAGGCCAGAACTAAATCCTATTAAACGTCTGTAGACCGTCACTTATGATCCAGCCTGATAGAGCTTGAGAGGTCTTGCAAAGAGGCAAAAACTCCCAAAGACAGGTGTGCCAAGCTTACAACATCATATTCAAAAAGGCTTGAGGCTGTAGATGCAGCCAAAGGTACATCCACAAAGTATTGAGCAAAGGTTGTGAATACTTATGTACATGTGATTTTTGAGGTTTTTTACTTTAAATTTGGAACAATTAAAAAAAAAATTCACATTGTCAATATGAGGTATTGTGTGTAAAATTTTGAGGAAATCAATTAATTTAATCCATTTTGGAATAAGGTTGTAACATAAAAACATGGAAAAAGTGAAGTGCCTTAAATACTCTCCAAATGCACTGTATGTACATTAATGTATACAAACAACTGCAGGTTAACCCATTATAAGGTGTACTCACAATAATATCATTTAGTCTGTATTTCCGAACACTAAATACAGACTTTTATTATGAGTATAAGAGTAAAGAAAAAAATGTAATGTGTCCAATTTTTGACTGGTGTATATATAAATTTACCAATTTTAAAAAATAATTTATACACATGTAGCTGTGTTACAAGCTTTTTCATATCTGACACAATCTTGTGTGGAACCAATTTACATTACGAAATCTAAAACTTTCACTTACAATTCCATCAGTCAATGCCATTTTTTAAATCCGTATTAGTTTGTGTACATGTTAGCTAGCGTGGGACGATAATCGTTTTCAAGGTATACCACGGTTTGGAAAAGTCAAGGTTTTAAAACCACCAAAATGAGAGTTTTTGTTGTTTTTTTAGGATGACACTATCTCCAGCAGAAAAAATATACAAAAAAAATATATAAATTGTAAAGAAATCAGTGTTTTTGAAACTAATGAAGACAGCAGAAGTCAATTATTTATTTTCATTATTCAGCCTGACATATTTACTGTTCCAAAATATGAGTGCTTCAGACTTCAGCTGCTGTAAAAGCTGAACACTCAGCCATCAGCTGTAGACATGGCTGCTGTGCCAAGGAAGACACTCATCTCTTTTCCCTTCTTTGAGGAACGTGAGTTATGAACATAACAAGAACGTGAAACCGAGATAATTTTATCCAAGGTTATCATACCGTCTGAATCTTATACCATCCCATGCCTAATGTCAGTTTATAATTACTTTATGACCAAACAAATCTTTTACATTTATGTTCATACATGATACAACTTATATACATTTCTTCAAAGTTCTAATTAATTTCAATAAAATCATTTTAAGGTTCCAACTTTTTTTTTTTTTCTAAATTAAGTTCTGGTGCAAAGTTTATTGGAAATTTACCATCCATTTGCAACATCTATAATGAGCTAATGATTTCTAAAAATGTCAGCTGTACTGGCACATGAGAACAAATGTCATTGGTGTGTGGGAAAGGGGTAAATTTGTCACAGAAGTTATTTTGTTAGTTTAAATATTTTAATTGAACTTTACAACATGCTATAAATCATTAACTAATTAATCATCATAAGCTATGATAAATGTTTTTTTTTTTCACAGTCAATTTACCTTTATTACCTACTTCTAACAAATGGAGCCTTATGGTAAAGTGTTACCAAACAGCAAGACTATAATATTTCAGAATCCAATCATTTAAAATCATTATCTGTTGCATGTTGTGAACCATAATAGCATGTGAAAATGTGTCCAGTTTCACATACCATCCATCATAAAAAAAAGTAATTGAAAATGGCAATCCAACCGCAAACATGGGTAAATAGTATTAAAAAATATATAACATCACATAAAAAAAAAAATTCAAGGTTGAAATCAGATGCCAAATGGCACATTTGAAAACATACTGCAAATTCTTATTTTTGGCTTTGCACAATTATTTAGCTTTTGCCATCTATGCAGAGAAAATAAAGATAATCAGAAGACATCACAATCTATGTAAAGGAAAAAAGACACCTAATGGGTGGAACACCAAGTTATGATTAGAGTAGACAAAACTGGTCAGACAGGAAAAACACTCACCAACTTTCCCAAAAGCCTCCCGCAACTCCTCCAGCTCTTCTTTGGATATCTTACCAGCCATCTCCCAAAGCTCTGTCAAATACAATGTTGTTCTGTAGAAAGAAAGACAAAAGGTTTGTCTGTATGTCTGTTTTCTAACAAAGAAACTTGGAAGTGGCTCTGTGCAGTAAAATTATAAGACAAGCAAATGGCATGCAAATATTTAGGCATGCAAGATACTGAAGTAGTAGACTATATTTGGACAAAATGTATGTTGGAAAGGGCGTGCCAAAACAACCTTTTGAATGCAACCTCACTATGAGTTTGAGAAAAGCAATTACGTGAGTCTTCAGCAAGACTCACTGATTCTTTAATCGATCTATCTAAAGGCTTTTTTATTGTTGTTAGTCAACTGAAGAGTCACCTTTAATTCAAGGCTAGCAAAATCCCACAAAACCAAGTCAAACCCAGCAAATTTTGTTAAATTCATCTTCATTCTTATAGTGTTGTTTACAATTTAGATTTTGTCAAAGCAGCTTAACACATATGAAGTTCTGGTTCTACAGTTCAGTTCTCACAGTTTAGTTCAGTTAAGTTCAGGTACTGCACAATGAAAATGATACAACAGAACAAAAAACAATAAAAAGGTAGTTCACCCCAAAAATATATTTTTTCTGTATTTACTCAGCCTCAATTGATTGTAAATCTTTATTACTTTTGTACACAAAAAGCTACTTTGAAGAAAGCTGAAAACCTGGCTGTAGCCATTGACATCCATAGTGGGAACAACAAAAACTGTGGAAATCTATGTTTACAGGTTTTTAGAATTTTCCATAAAATCTTCAATTGTGTTCAAAATCAGAAATAAAATTAGACCGGTTTGGAAAGGTGAAGACTGAACTATGCCTTAGTTATCCCTACATAAAGTGAAAAGATCAAGCAACAGCCAAAAGTCACTCTATAAGAAGCAACTTTATTTTAGCCACTAGTTTTACATTGCAAGCATTTGGGATTATTTAGCACACATCTGCAATGGTGCTTGCCATCCTACCACACCCTGACGGAAAAGCAAAAAGTTGAAGACTTCTTACAGCTAGAAAAATAACCTTAACATTCAATGGTACCCTAATGACAAAATAGTCATCAGTTGTAAATTAATTAACCTTAATTTGATAAATTTAATACGATTCTGCAGTTCAAGCATAGCTGTAGTATAATTTGACTACGGTTTGTTTGTGGACAAATCTAAGCAACCAGATAATCCTGTGTAGTGACTAGATTTCCAGTGTTTCTAAGGGCTGCCAACATTTCATGACCGATTGAACAATGTGAAACTATAAAATACTAAGTAAAGGAAATTTTACCCATGTTTTCTATCATAAAAAAATATATACCAGTCAAACTAGAAAAAAGAAAAAACCCTAAAAACCTTTCAAAAAACTGCCCTGAAATATCAGTTAACAAAATTACTTTCAAGCTGCAAACATTTGGAAGAAATGTGAATTGAAACAACATATGGCTTTTACAGATGCTGTGTCATTAGCAGCATGGCTAGGAAAAGAGACGGGTTTTCACCAGTGTATATTATTATTGAGACAAAGTAGAATGTAGAGAAAGACTAAACTTGAATAGAGAAAATCAAACATACCGTCGATCCTTATGTGTGCTGTGAATGGAGCTTTAGGCACCAGCAGTGGCAACAGAGGCAGTATTCACTCCACACCCTTCAATGCTAATCTGAAACACCAGCATTCCTGACGGCCTCACAAAGACCTATGGCAGCAAGTCATAACACTTCCTGACAGTCTAGCAGTCGGCTTGTCTGCCCGAGAGGGAGGAGGGATAGGCAGGAACAGACGGAAAAGAAGAGGGGGAGGGTAAACATTCCTGATGTTCTTTTTTTTTTTTACTTGAAGCATTTCCATCAAAGATATACTTGAACAACGCAATAAAGTGAGTAAAATGGCGCAGAAAAATGAAATAACTTGAAACAGTCCTTTGCTTTAAAAATGTTTTAGCAAATAAAATATAACACTGAACTGAGCTAAACAAACAAAAAATTTGCAGGTAATTTTACAACTAAGATGCCTGATGTGAAACTCGTTGTGACATGGTCTCGAGACCCCAAAAACAGATGTTTCAATATGTGTGGCATACCTGCTGAATCTGCATTTGATTGATAAGATCAGGAGCAATAGCTAATAGAAGGAAGGAACCAAAAGCTGTGGTTATCGACTTACTTACCTGGGTGTGTCACATAAAATAGAGTGTATTCCAGAAAGCAGGTTATGCGACATACCCAGGTAAGTTTAACTTTAGTCGGCTTTAGACAGATCAGTTTGTCGATAGCACAATGAACAGAAATAAATAAATAAATAAATAAAATGAAAAATAATGGCAAGTTCCAAACCCAAGTCAAGATCCCTTTACTCTCTCTCGGCAACCTTACATCTTTCTTTCAATAGGCCTACTCTGCCGTGAATGTAATTTCAGCTGGAACCCATCAATGGGAAATACCCATTCATTCTTATTCACACACATACACTACAGTCAATTTAGTTTATTCAATTCAGCTATAGCACATGTCTTTGGCCTTGAGGGGAAAACTGGAGCACCCGGCGGAAACCCACGCAAACACGGGGAGAACATGCAAACTCCACAGAAAACAGCATAGCCCACAATGCAAACACAAATAGAAGAATGCACTGCAAATCCTCACTATGCATTCAAATAGCATGGACCACAATGGAAATGTTTTAAGTGGATCAACTGAAAATGTAGCTCTAGGCAGCAACTAAGGGGCCAAGCACGCAAAGTATATCTTTAGCTCATTTTGGACTTTTTTAACATCACACAATTTATAGAACAGTTTTTAAATAACTGTGATTATATAATTAATTGTTCAATTCAATAATTAAAATGAGCTTTAAATGAAATGCATTTTGCAAAATGATTTATGCAGCCTGATGAGCTTCAAAAGCAGTGCAAAGCCTGATGTAGGGTGTCAATGTCTAAATTAGCTCATAGGAACTGAAGATTAATTTAAAAGGGACTTCAAAAGAATCAACTCTTTAGATCCGAACAAATGAATCATCCAGCAATCGTTTGAATGGACAGTTGACTCCAACTACAGATAATGCTATCCAAATATAACAACTGCACTTCAATATTTAAGCAGTGTAACAAGATCTAAGTTAGATGCAGTAGATTCATAAATATGCATAGACTATTTTCTTTAAATGCAAAAATAATTTTTATTGACTATTCTAACAGAAACTAACAATTAACACAAACACACACACACACACACCCATGCACACTCCGCTTTGCAGGTACAGTGAGACTCCACTCACTGCTGCACAACTCAAAATGCACAAAAGAGAGCGCAGCACGATTTGAACACAATAAAATGATCTGCTGCAATACTTTCTAAATATAGCTCATGTTAATATTACATTTTCCCATCTTTGTTGCTGCAATGTGTGCATATGTTTTTCTTTTTTTTTTTGTAATGTTTAAACCAGTCACTGAATAATAGCCATGCAATCTGTAACAGATGATTTTCTGCGTTGTGTTTGTTGGTTTTAATGAAAAGATCCATACAGCAATGCAGTCGAACTGGAATTTATTCTTGTATCTCTCTGTATCAAAAAGTATATGTAACAGACATCAGTCCAATAAACCTTCACAGCACAGCAATGTCTGTCTGTCGGACGCCATCTCACAAAGTGTCAGCATAGGCACAATAACCATGATGAAAATAAATACAAAAAATTTATAAAATAAAACATATAATAATTAAATAAAAACAATACATAAAATACATTAAATTGTGATTTGTAACATACCTGTATCAAAAATATATGTAACAGACATCAGTCCAATAAACCTTCACAGCACAGCAATGTCTGTTGATCAGTACACAATTTTTAAACTCATTTGCTCTCATTTTTAAAGGAAAATGCAGAAATGCTATATAAACTTTCTCATAAATAACTATAAAATGTAAACCCGATTTAATTGAATTTTTAAAGCACATTTTACATATAACATACAATTTATATGTAACGAAAAAAAATAAACAAAATAATAAAATAAACAAATACAGAATTTAATTTGGATTAGCTATTGTGCTCATTAAACTTACCTTATATGACACGTTCCACACTCAATTATGATCAAAATACATTTCTCCCACTATAGTGATACAATATTTAACCTTATTGACAGCACTGAATAATATAAACATCAACATTAATGTAATAATATTGGTATTTATAAGAGGAGCTGAAAAAACGCTCCTGCCTGTCGAACGCCATCTTACAAAGTAAGCGCGCATCGGAAACTATATCAGATTTCATCTCGCGCCTACGTGATCATAATTAATTATAAATACCTATATTATTTTTATATGGATGTAAAGAGAACATTATCGAAACTTTAAACACTGAAACATGAAGACAAAATATTGAAGGAAAAGGAAAGTAATTAATTGTTTGTCTTGTCCATTTCCTTTAAACCACCTTTCAAAACAAAATACCCTTCCGATAATAAGCCAATAATCTAGTTCAACATCACACACGCCACATCCACCCCCACTGTTCTGCACTAGATTATTGCACAGTATATAGACACTTATTATTCAAGAATAGTGTTAACATGTCACACAACCAAATAAAGGTAATTCAGCTATAAAGCTATCTCATTAGAAATTCAGATAACCCAAGGGTAGCTAATCCTCAGTCTATCGTCTGAAAAATCATGCCATATACACGATTTCAATTATGACACACTAATAGATGGTCACTATAACATTTTCCTTAATAAACAACTTTATCTAGGACCACCAGAAACGCGTCCATTCCAACAAATTGACGGGTATACAATCTGTCATACAAAAAGAAATCAACAAAGAAAACGTTGGAAATAGAAATTCACAAATCAATAATAGGGCAAATTCTTTGTGTGGACATTGTAAAAGTCTGCTCACAGGTTTAATAAGCCTACCAAACCTGCTGTGTGTAAATGTTGTACACTGAACTGTCCTGGAAAAGAACAAAATTTGCAGTAGGGTGAGGTGAACCCACTTAAACCTCTTCCCCTACTGTTGCAGCTTCACAATTATCATTAGGAGCAGGCATGGCACTTCGAGAAATCGGAACATTTTGAGGCTCAGCTACACAGGAGTGTTCACATGTAATGTGCGGAAGTCTGATAAAACAGTCAGACACTACTTCAGAAAAGCTCAGACATTCCAATCCCTGAACCTGTTCAGCTTGTGTCCCCATTTCATGATCACAGATGCCACAGTCTTGATTTTCAATCACCTCATTTGTCAACTCATCACTCAACATTACAACCTCATCCAGGTTAGCAATCCATTGAGATGGTCTGTCAACAATTTCACAGTTTTGACCATCAGACTGTGATGAAACAGAATGTGAACTCAAATTACCTTCTGGAGATGCAGAATCATCCCAAGCAGGCAAAGGCAAACAATTTACAGGCATCAATAGGTTCCTATGAACAATTTTGACACGGCCAAAAACTTGATGACGGATCCTATAAGTGTTCAAAGAACAGTTTTTGCTTGCTACAATATACACTGTACATTCCCAGTGGTCCCCTAATTTCAATTCACCTCTTTCTCCCTTGTTCGCCAGAACACTATAGCCAGGCTGCAAAGAATGACCCTTGCATTTCAGAATATAATGTTCAGCCTGTTTGCCTTGTTGTTGACGCACATTTTATTGTACAAGCGACATTGCCTCCTCAGATCTCATCCCAGAGACTGGACATATTTACTTACATTAAGAGCATCAACATCCAAAAGTACACTCTCAAAAAGAACGTCCACTGGCAACCTCGGCGTGCACCCAAACATCAAAAAGAAATGTGGGTAGCTAGTTGTATGAGAAGGTCAGAAAGTTCAGCAATTGTGGCCATTTCGCTTTCGACCTAGGCGGTAGAGAACTATTATCATCCCAAGAGTACGGTAAACCTTTGAGCCTGATCGTTACCTATGGGATGATATGGTGTCGAATGAGATTTCTCCACGCCCGAAAGATTCAGCATTTCCGAAATCAGGGAACTCTAAAGGTTTGCACCCCTATCAGAGTGGATCCTCGCTGGGAAACCATATATACAAAAAAATTATTCCACAGAACACATGCAACGGTTTTTGGTAGTTTGATTTGGACAGACGTACGCGCATGGAAGCTTCATAAAATGGTCAGTCATTACCAACACATTGACTGATTTATTATCGACATCCTCAGCTGACCAGATATCAATACAAATCAGTTCAAGTGGAGCTGTTGTTGTTATCGATACAAGCGGCGCTCTGGCCTCCGGCTCAGGTGTCTTACTCAGTACACATATTTTACATTGTGCAACATATATCTTCACATCTTTCTCCACTGAGTTCTAGTAAAATTACTGTCTCGCTAGCCAAAGAGTACGATGTTGACCCTGGTGCCCAGTGTCGTCGTGGACCCCATTCAACACCAGTCCTCTTAAGACTGCTGGTACAACAAGTGTCTTTGCTTCATGCTTCAAAGCATTATACGGTGTCCTGGTAAGTCTGTGCAGAATCCTGGGTACAGCAAAAGGTTCTCGACTCAAGGCATCAGCCACCACATTTTTTGGTCCAGTTAAGTATTGTATGTCGAATTCGAAAGGAGCCAACTTCGCAATCCATCTCTGCTCACAGGCATCAAGCTTTGGTATGGTCAAAATATACTTTAGCTGATTATTGTT